ACAAACGAAAGAAATGGAGGACAAAAAGCAACTGGATATAGAGTTCAAAACCACACTTATAAGGTTGTTCAAGAATCTCCTAGAAAAGGCCGATAAAATAAAGAAGACCTATGAGGATATGAAAAGGGATCAACCAGAAATAATAAGGGATCAACAAGAAATAAAGAATACATTGTCTGAAATAAAAAAAAATTATACAGAGTCCTAAAAACAGAATGGAAGATCGCAAGAATCAAGTCAAAGATTTGGAACATAAAGAGCCAGAAGACACTCCTCTGCAGAAGCTAGAAGGCAAGAGAATCCAGAAAATTGAAGATGATGTAAGAAACCTCTGGGACAACTTCAAACGATCCAACATCAGAATTATGGGGGTCCCAGAAGATGAGAGAGAGCAAGATATCGAAAACATACTGAAAGAAATAGTGACAGAAAACTTCCCCCACCTGGTGAAAGAATTGGACTTACAAGTCCAGGAAGCACACAGAACTCCAAATAAAAGGAATCCAAAGAGGACCAGACCAAGACAAATCATAATTAAGATTCCAAGAGCAAAAGACAAAGAGAGAATATTAAAAGCAGCAAGAGCAAAGAAGGTAGTTACCTATAAAGGAGCACCTATACAATTGTCAGCTGATTTCTCAACAGAAACCATGCAGGCCAGAAGGGAATGGCAAGAAATATTCAAGGTGATGAATAGCAAGAACCTACAGCCAAAGATAATCTATCCAGCAAAGCTATCACTCAGATTCGAAGGTCAGATAAAGAGCTTCACTAATAAAAAAAAGCTAAAGGAGTTCATCACCACCAAACCAGAATTATATGAATTGCTAAAGGGGGTTCTTTCAAAAGAGAAAGTAAATAAAGATAAAAATTATGAACAACAAATACATAACTATCAACAAGTGAATCTAAAAACCAAGGAAACTAAAAAAAAAAAAATCTGAGGAACAATATTAACTGTTGAATATAATAGAATCAGAGATATGGAAGGGGAGTGAACTGTTTATTCTTGGGGAAAAGGGGAGAGGGTGATGTGGGAAGAGACTGAACATAAACTGTGCACCTATGGATGAGGACAATGGGGGTGGGGAAAGGGCAGAGGGTGGGGTGAGAAGGGGGGGGAAAGGAACATTTGTAATAATATGAACAATAAAAATTTATTAAAAAAATAAATTTTGTTGTATTGTTTAAATAAATTCGATTAAAAAAAGTATTAGAAAACGACATTAATTATTACTAGACCTAATATTTATTTCTAATGTAATTATTATTATCATTTTTTATTGATTTCAGAGAGCAAGAGAGAGGAAGAGAGATAGAAACATCAATGATGAGAGAGAATTATTGATTGGCTGCCTCCTGGGAGCTCCACACTGGGGATCGAGCCTGGAACCCAGGCGCATATGCCCTGACTCGGAACTGAACTGTGACCTCCTGAGCTACCTACATTTGCTTTTGCCCCATCCTTTCTGTGCACAGAAAAATCTTTTAAAATGCAAATTAGATTATGTCACTTTGCTGTTTAAGAGTCTCATGCTCTACCGACTGAGCTAGCCGGGTGAGACTCACTTTGCTGTTTAAAACTCGTTAGTGGTTTTCCTTTGCTCTTAGGATAAAGAACAGATATTCTGGGAGGTCTTGCATGATCTAGCCCTTGCCTATCTCCCTATCCTTATTCTCATGGCTCTTTCCTTAGCACACAGTGCTTTAACTGACCTGCGTTCACGTTCCCAAATACCCTATTTTTTTCTCTCTCACTACATTCCTTTGCCAAAAATGCTTATCCTCTGCCCCCCTCATACCTTACCTCACCGGTTGGCAACTACTACTGCTCCAAATCTTGGCTCAAATGCCACTTTCTCAAAGAAGCGGGGCCCCAAACTCCCAGGTAACTCCAGTCTCGTTATACATTTTAAAAATACCTTACATTTTTTCCCTTCACAGTACTTACCACAGTTTGTTAATGTAAGTCTCCTGTACTAGCCTTAAGCCCCCCAAAAAGGCAGAGACCATGTGTTTTTTTATATTTTATGCCACAGTATGTGACACAGGATAAATACTTGCTAACTGCTCAATTCATTCATTCACTCATTCATTCATTCACTTAACAATCACGGAGGAAGAGTCCACAATTAGGGCAAATCACAGTTCCGTGGTCAAAATTCCTCACCGATCAAACTCAGCTTAGGAACCAGGTACATGTCCTTTTCACTGATGACAAGAGTGGGGGCAGGCTGCGGGGGCCCAGGCTCTGCGTTCTCAGCGGGAGACACCAGTGGGCAACGCTGCACAAAGTGCGTGTCTGCTAGCCGCACAAACGTGCTCGAGACCTCCGCGTAGTCCATGGTCTTGCCGTCTGTGGGAAAGGAGAGAAGAGGCAGGTGAGGCTCCCGAGACAGCCAAGGGCCCCTCCGGCGGGCAGCCAATCTGTGCGTTTGCCAGCAGCTGTGGCCACCGTACCGACCTTCCATGGTTTCCGTCAGCCGGTCGGCCACTCTCTTCACGAGCGCGGACATCGTCATCTTGCCGTTCAGCAGCAGCTCCTCCACGATCAGCTCGCCGGTGTCGCTGTACAGGGTTTTGGCGGTGTAGATGTACCGGGGGTACCTGAGCATCCGCAGCACCCGGCTGCACTGGGCCTCGTACTCCACCGTGCCACGCCTGTGCACCTGGTACGTCACCAGGTTATGCTGGATGAGGACGCACAGGGCCTTCTTCACCTGGACGCGACCCAGAGGAAGAGGAAAGATCTGAAGACACAGCTCTTTATTGCTCACAATTAATATATATATATATATATATATATATATATATATATATATATATATTATTGATTTTTTTAGAGAGGAAGGGAGAGGGATAGAGAGTTAGAAACATCGATAAGAGAGAAACATCCATCAGCTGCCTCCTGCACACCCCCTACTGAGGATGTGCCTGTAACCAAGGTACATGCCCTTGATTGGAATTGAACCTGGAACCTTTCAGTCCCCAGGCCAACGCTCTATTGCTCATGATTTCTGCCCAACAGTTGCCTAAGCATCAGGAGATGGCTGGGTAAGAATCTCCGTGCTGCCTTCCTCCTTCCATTGGAACAGCAAGAGTCACACATAAATAGAAGAAATCAGGAAGATTCCTTGCTAGGATGCTCATATTTCCTCTGATCTTTATTTATCAAAATACAATTTACTTCCCTTCTATTATTCTCATTCCTTAACGGCAGTACTGAGATTCACAGACTCATTGTGAATAAAGGAAGGACGGCAAAGGAAGAGCAAAGATGTGCCTATGAAGCAACAAGGAGCCAGGAACACTTTGAGAAGCAGACCGTGGGCCTCTGTCTCATCCTCTTTCCCCAGAGCGGGCTCTCTCCCTTCCCATTTTTTTTTTTGGGGGGGGGGAGGAGTAACAATATTCAAAGGTAAGTGAAAGACATTAATGAAAATAAAAGCAAATTAGTATCCTCCAAACATACCTGATCCAGTGATGTCTTTGTGTCATGGACAATCACTCTTAGTGGCTGGCTGCCAGTTCTGATTAGGTGGACTCCAATTTTTTCCACAATCTCTCCAAAATGCTCTTGTAGCAACAAAGAACACAGTTTAATTTCTGCTTGAGTCATTGTACTAAGGAGTTTCAGAGCTAGAATAAAAAATAAAAACACATTTTTATGCTGAAGAGGTTTATGATGTTGCATGGAGAGCTGCTGAGTATAAATTCAAGTATTTTGTGGAGGGTGATTTGATATTATATAGCAAAAGCCTTAAAATCTTGCCTATCTTCAACCTAATAATTTCGTTTTGGATACTCTCCTCTAAGGAAAGAATAAAAAGATGCTACTATAGTTCTCTTTAGAATACGAACATACTGGAAACAGCGTAATGTCTAACCACGAGGAATCACTTCAATAAATTATGGTGAATCCATACAATGGAATGTTACTGCAGCACTTTTGTTTATGTATTACCATAGAAAGTTGTTCACTAAGTAAAAGAAGCAGGCTACAAAGCAAAATGTGGAGTGATATTTAATCAAGAAAGAAATGTATGAATAGAAAGAAAGAACTGGACTATATATCACATTGATCTTTTAAAAATATTTAAATTTTTTATTGATTTCAGAGAGGAAGGGAGAAACATCTTTATGAGATTGTGTGTGATCCTAATTTTCTTTAAAGATTGCGTGTAGATGGTTTTACAATGTCACAGGCCTTCACTCCTACACTTCACTGGAAGAATTAAGGCCACTTCACAGCCTATTGGGAGTGAACAGGCAGTATCATTCCCAGTTCATAAAGGAAATGACAATTAAGGATAAGAAATTACGAGGTAAAGGAAAGCTTTGCAACAGTATGATTTCAATAGGAGATGAAGTACGTTGCTTGCAGGACAGTATTTAATTCGGAAATTTCTACTTCTTGACAAAGTAGGCACAATATATATAATTGAGTATAAAATTGCTTCCTTTTAAGGAAAATCTCAAGTGCTGCCAAACACTGCTTTATTCCTCAGAAGCCAAGACTTTGCCTCTCAGCTGCAGTATCTCCGTCCACACGTCTTTAGGGAAACATCCCAGACCCTCTGCCATCCCCGGAAAGGACTTTCAAGGGGGCTTGATCCTGGCTCTTTACTCCCTGCACGTAGAGTCCCAGTTCGGGCCTGGGTTCCTTGGTCCGTCCGGTTCGGACAGCGTTTTCACTAACCTCTGGGTCACCGCAATCTAACGCCAAGTTTCCCTCGGCTGCGTGCGGCTCCCACTGCCGCCAGGGCAGAGGGACAGCCCTCCGCCTTTCCTCGCAAGAAGCACCACCTGGACGACCCGGAAACGGGGAAAGCGTTGGCCACTCTACCCCAGCGCCTCTGTGGTTTCCCCGGGGACGCTCTTTCTCTCATCTCGTTAAGAGTTTGGAGGACCAGCGAGGCGCCGCGGGGGAGGTGCGGGCTGACTTCCCTTCCGGCGCCTGTGACGCTAGGGGCGGGGCCTGGGTCCACGCCGCCTCCGTGGGCCGGGCGATCACGTGACTGACGCGGGCCCGGAGCGGCGGCCGCATTGAGGAAGCGCGGGCCGGGCGGCGACTGCAGCCGGCGGCGAGCGAGCGGCTGGCGGGGGAGGCGGCATCCCTCTCGGACCCGCCGGGCGGAAGAGGAAGATGGCGGAGGCCTCGGCGGCCGGCACCGGCGCCGCCGTCGCCGCGCACCGGTTTTTCTGCCACTTTTGCAAGGGCGAGGTCAACCCCAAACTACCGGTGAGAGCCCCGCGTCCCTGCCCACGCCCCGAAGTCCCGGAAGGGGTTGGAAGCGCCCCCCCCTAAACCCCTGAAATCGGCCTCCCGAATCCTGCTGCCCACTGTTCTCCGGCCGCGGCCCCTCGCTCCCTCTCCGCCCTCCCCCTCGCCCCCGGACGCGCCACCTGCCCCGTTACCCCCGCTCTTTACCTGCCCCTCCCCCATCTCCTTTCTTAGCAGGTTCTCTGACCACTCTCCCCTCAGTTTCCTCCTTAAACATTTTTATTTATGGATTGGTTCCTTAGAGAGGGGGAAACATCGATTTGTCGTCCCACTTATGTGTGCATTCATTGGTTGCTTCCCGGATGTGCTCCGGCCGGGGACGGCATCGGCAGCCTTGGCTGCGGGCAGGATGCTCTCACCAGCCGAGCCGCCGGCCAGGGCTGCCCTCGGCTTTCTTTCTTTCTTCTTCACCTTGGCTCCTTCTCACGATGACCGGGGCGACCCCCCCCTTCCCCCCCCCCCCCTGCTGTTCTCACCTTCCTCTATTTCCTTTTCCACTTCACACCCCCCGCCCCATCTTCTGTGAATCAAAACCGCGGATTGATAAGGACAGCAGCGCCTTTCCCGCTGTCCCCGGGGGAGAGCGGGCTGGAAGGTAACTGGGGCAGCGAGGGATTCTGTTACCGGCGGCCCGCAGGGCTCCGGGGAAAGGGAAAGCAGCCGTGGACTCATGACCCGCACGCAGGCTGCCCGCCTCCCCGCCGCTGTGGAAGGAAATGGCTTTAGGAAGGAGGCAGGACACATTGTTTCAACTTGGCTATCTTGGTTGTCCTGCTGCCAGGGTCTGGAGCACCGTCTCCGACCGGCCCCCTCCCCCAGTCCGCCTCTCACGACCAGATCCAGGGCAGAATGCTGAGGACCGCATCCGCTGACACACATCGCTTCTCTCCGGTTTGTGCCAAGCTGGCTGTGGGCCCCTGGAGAGGGAGAGATCCCGCCTCTGCCGCAGGCCAGCAAACCCGGGGCTCTGCCGGGGTCGGGGCTGCTGCAGGGAGACCCACCCTGGAGAATGCTCGACCTTCAGAAGGAGTTAGGATAGTTCTAGTGTCCCCCCTCACCCCCCCACTGTTAAAAGATAATGCTTTTTAATATTTTAAATAGTTTTATAAATCTCATGAAAAATGGTTCACCTTAACAGTACTTTGCACATGTGGAATTTCATACCTAAACTTGGTGATACTATGTTGGTTCATTTATGGCTACTTACAAGAAGACTCAGTAGTAATGTCCATTCAGTAGAGTCTTTTTTTTTTTTTTTTTTTTTTTTTTTTTTTTGGTTGAGCCTACTCGGACCAGGCTGATGAGACGGCTAAAGAAAATTCATGGTAATATGAATTATGTGAATTTCCACTGAAAGGAATTGAAACTAAAAGGATTTCCATATTTATCCCCGTCGTGGTTTTGGAAGCTAATGCCCCGTTCAGAAGTTAAAGAGTTTGAACAGCTCACACAATCCTGTAAAAATTACAACTGGCCGCCCTTTAATAAATAAAGAGGGAGTTCTGCTTAGAAGTTTAAGGTCCAGTCTTACGAAAGGGCGGCTGCCGAACCACTTAACTGTCAGGTTCAGTCCATGGGCAAGTCTAGGGAGGTGTGCAGGCCGAATGCCTTATTTCTTAGACACCCAAATGGAGTCCTGTAAATAGCGCCCAAGGGCGCTTTAGCCTTCTCACCTAAAGCGGTGCTTTCTCAGGCTTTCATGGCATTTTCTTTCTTTTCCATTTGCCCCAACAGTTTCATTTTAGGAAACAAACAAACAAAAATGTTCATAGACGGCTGGAGATGCTTTTAAAAGAAAGGGCTCATTAGGTCATTGCTGGCCAAAACGCAGGCTGGCCGTGGGGCATGGAGTCCGCATGACCAGCTCGGTAGGAACGGTAACGTGTTCATCACCTGGAGTTCGCAGGCATTTTCATACATCAGGGAAGATGTAAACTGGGTGACAGTTTTCTTGAGCTCCAGGCAGGAAGGCGGGAGCCGGGGAAGGGGGCCAGGTCTGGGACAGGCACAGAGTCCTAGGGAGAAATGGCCCCTCCTTTGGGTGGGCGGCGGCAGCATTTGGGAAGGCCCCGGTGGAAACGAGGGCCTGAGGCTCCTGGCTGCTGTGCCTGGCCAGGGTAACTGCGGAAACAGCCACCTGGAAATCAATCTGGAGGGCCAGCAGGGGATGGGAGGAATGTGAGCAGTCTTTTGTCAGCTGGTTCACAGCTATTAAGAAGCGAATTGTTCTCTCTCTCTCTCTCACTCTCTGGCCTCTGTAATTTTAATGGAGAGCATCTCAGAATTTCCTTGCTATTGTGTGTTACTTGGTTGTGATTGCCTGTCTGTGCTCGGGTGTGTTTTATGCCATATTTCGGTACTGAGAAGAGCAGGCCCCTTGAGTTTTTCCAGTGGACATCAGTGCCCCCAGTCCCCTCACCACAGACAGGGCGTCTGGGTTTTGTCCACTCTGTGCGACCAGTGACATGTGATGCCTTGTTGAACATTGTGGCCTTGGTTCTTTTGGAGCCATGTCTCCCTCGCCCTCCCCTCCTCCCCCATGTAAAGCAGTTTTTAAACTATGATTGACATACAATGTTACATTAGGTTCGGGTGTATAGCATAGTGCTTTGACGTTTCTATACCTTACAAAGTGATCACAAACAGTCCAGTACCCATCTGTCACCATACTTAGCTCTTAACGTCTTTTAAGTCGTTGGGTTATTGACCTTTAAGTGTGAGAAAACAGTCTAACTTTCCACAACTTCCATCTTTTCTTTTTACCACCTGAAGTCCTCGTTGTGAAGTGCTCTTGAAAAGGGATACTTTGAAAGACTTCAGTATTTTTCTAAGCCTCACTTTGATGGCCCAGAGGCACCACATTATTTGTGGTGCCTGACTTGTCAATTAAGGTCTAGTGCAATTAAATATGACAGAATACTTACCCGTACATAAAGGTTCTCTGCTGGCTGTCCTTAAGGCATACCTGGGAATATGGTACCTGCCCTGAAGAACCTTATAGTTTTTTAGAAAAGATGTGACAAACATGGAAAAAATATAAGGTGAATGAAGATGGATATATGTGCTTTAGAATTCAGAGGAAGGGAGGATTGGTGAGGTCAGGGAAAGAGTGAGAGGTGGATTTTAAATTGAGTTCCACAGGATAGACAAAATTCAAATTAAGAATTTGTAGCATATACTGAGTATGAAAGAGGGAGACATTTAGTAGATATGCATTTTTAGGAAAAGGTGCAGTGAAGTTAGGGGTATAGTTTTTATTCATAGATAAGCCAGTGAGTTTTATGGCCATTTCTATATCCTTAATCCAGACTGTTATCTTGAAAATGTTGGTTATAAGAATGATCAGGTCAAGCCCTAGCTGCTTTGGTTCAGTGGATAGAGCATCAGCCTGCAGACTGAAAGATCCTAGGTTTGATTCTGGTCAAGGGCGTATGCCTGGGTTGGAGGACTCAGTCCCCAGTAGGGGATATGCAGGAGGCAGCTGATCAATGATTCTCTCTCATCATTGCTGTTTCTATCTCTCTCTCCCTCTTTGAAATCAATCTATACTAATAATAGAGGAATATGCAAATTGTCCGGGAATCGTCACAGTAACAGTAACGATTGTTACTGTATGTTACTGTATGTTACTAGGCTGCTTGGGGTGACAAGGTTGGCAGGGGGCTTAGTGAGGGATGACCAAACGACTGAACAGGCTGCATGGAGCGACCAGGTTGTGGGGGGTAGTTGGGGGTGACCAGGCTGGTGTTGGGGGGAGTTGAGGGCGACCAGGCTAGCAGGGCAGGGGGGGCAGTTGGGAGCAACCAGGCCGGCAGGGGCAGTCCCGGGTTGTGAGAGGGATCCCAGATTGGAGAGGGTGCAGGCTGGTCTGAGGGAACCCCCCCCCCCCATGAATTTTGTGCACCGGGTCTCTAGGTTTGATTCTGATCAAGGGCATGTACCTTGGTTGTGGGCACATACCTAGTGGGAAGTGTGCAGGAGGCAGCTGATCAATGTTTCTATCTCATTGATGTTTCTAACTCTATCCCTCTCCCTTCCTCTCTGTAAAAAAAATCAATAAAATATATTTTTACAAACAAACAAAACAAAACAAAAAACACAAATACTTCAGGAAAAAAAACACACAGATCAGTAAGTGGGTAGTTCTGCTACTGAAAAACCAACTCAAACACTGGTAAGTCAGTAAATATGATTTTTGTTTGTATAGGAAACATTGAAAAGTTTTTAAAAATAAAATTTTATATAAATTTGAAAAACTTACTTGTAGGTACTCATCATACATTAAGCATGTTTTGTTTCTTCTGCTGGACACATGTGAGAAACCTGGAAGTTTTGAGGATAGCTAGACCCAACTTATCAGGAATGAAGTTTTTCTTTGTCTTGACTTATTTTTCTTCTCAAGAAGGTACTTTACTTTTGAGCAAGTTGGATCACAGGACTCATCACCATGAGTAATCATCCTCTGAACACCTAAGGATGAGTATTGAGCATTACATAAGCTTTCAATGAGCTATTGCTGGGAGATATGTCCTCTCTGAACACCTAAGGCTGAGTATTGAATTTACATCAGCTTTTAACGAGCTATTGCTGGGTAGTTTTCTTCAACTGATCAGTGGGAAGGCTGCTTTACAGGTACCTAATCTCTTGCCAACTTATTCACCACAGAGCAGAACCATAATTGTGTTTAGTGGGATTGGGTTGCAAGATTTTTAAAACTCTTGATTCTTTCTTACCCTGTCCCTAGGATATAGCACTTCTTGATACCTTTGGAAGTATGTGAGACTATAGCAATAGCTTACCCTACTTTTGCCTTGAAAGTATCCTTAGGTTTTTATCATTTTTCTGTCAGTCCTACGATGAAAGATTAGCAGGCCCAGCTTTATTTATTTATTTATTTGGTTCTTTTGGAGCCCCCCCCCTTCACCCTCCCCATTGACCTCTAGCGCCCCCGCCCCAAG